CAAGAACCTTTTTTCATGTTATATTAGTTGTTATTTTTTTAATATCTTAAATAATATTTTAATTACATTAATTAGTATTTTTCTTTTTTTTTTTCTCTGAGTATATAAAATATGACATTACCAATACGACATATAAAAGAAAATAGCAATATTTATTCATTCCTACGCTATACGTAATTGGTTTCCTTATTATGTACTGTTAAAGTTCATTTGAAAACGTTCAGTGAGGTCATGTTTTATTGGATGAGATTATTTAGGCAAAACAACAGAAATACAAATAGCAGCAAAGTGACAATTCATTCTTATATTTTATTTGATTTGGACAGGAACCATAACACAATATATATACATACATATATATAATATGTTAAATTTAAATTTGACAAAACAAAATGAAATAAATAATTTTATATTAAGTAAATTTTATATTTGTACATTTTTTTTAGAAATGTTATTTATACAAAAGATTCATACAATTTTGGGAAAAAGAGCGAAAAGATGAGTGATGTAATAGAGAAAAATAATAAAAAATATTATTATAAAAATTTATTGTAAGAATATTATATAATTTTTGTCCTAAAAAATTCATGGAATAAAAAAAAAAATTGATTGCGTGGACTCAGAGGAATTGCCTTTTTCACTCTTATATTTTAAGAAAATAAAACACAGATTATTTCCTTTTATCTGTAGAATGCGAATGCCCACAAATTAACATAAAAAATTTCTTTTGGGAAAAAAGTTCTTAATCCTGGCCCATTCATAGTTCTTAAAGAAATTATCTTGTAGTTATTGAATAAAATTGATATATAAATTAATTTAAATTATATACTTTTATGATTTTATTAATTTTAGTTTTTAATACTAAGTTTAAATATTAAAAATGGTAAGCTTTTCTCAAAAAATATAAATATTTTTAATAGAATTACAAATTTTAATATTAAAAGTTGCCTTTAAAAACATTAAAAAGTGACGAGATAAAATAAGAATTTTAATTTCAATACATTGATAATTAAATTCTCATCTAATTATAAATTGTGACAATGAGAATTATTAATTTTTATAGTAAAACGTTTAGATTAATAATACACTAAAATTCAACTTATAAAACAATTGGTCAAAATTTCACCTTCATCCATTTCAAGTTGTATTTGGCAAAAAACTCAGCCTAAGATTCATAGGTTTCAAAAGCGTAAAGTTGGATTTGAAACTAAAAATGGAAAGATAAGAATCAAAACAAAGCTTATCCACATGAATTGTTGTTATTCCTCTTCAACCATTGGTGATAGAACACGTAGCATCCATTACACATAAAACATTTCAATTTCGTGTAGGTAAAAACGAAGATGGAGGAAGGAGAAAATGAATCTATGATCTTGGCAATCTTCAACTCAATGCAATTGAACCTTTTCTAGATATGATTAAGTATCATAATTGTTTGGTTCTACATTGATAAGACTTCTTAAGATGGCGTAAAAATTTTATATTGTTACTTCAAAACTATTTCAACTAGTTTTTCTTTGACTTTTCAGTTTACAGCACTTGCTTAAACTTACAATCGGAGTTTACACATATAAAGATAGCTTGTCACCTTTTAACGATAATTTTTATAAAGTAATATTATAATTACATGATATAAATCTTTACGGTGTAATAAAATATGATAGCTTATTATTACCTCTCTCTTTTTATTGTGCTTTTTTTATTAATATAACAACAAAATTTTAGATGCAAATTGTATTACCATTTTTTTCTATTTTTTTTTTTCATAAATTCAATCTAGCAACAAGATATCGAGCTCTTCTAAGCTTCTTTTTTTTCATCATAAAATTCTTTTATCCAAATGATACATTGTGGAGATTTAAATCTTAGAAACAATTAAATTCACACTCTATAAAGTTTTAAAAAATTTTACTTCATATTTGTTATATTCGTACATTACTTTAATCTTTCTTGCACACATGTAGTTATATATATAAAATAGGAATCATTTATATAAGTGAGAATAATATACGATATTATATTGTTACATAAATAATAGAAAGTTTATATGTAATAAAAGAATATCAGATGAAACTTTGCTAAATCTCAAAAAGCATAAATGATTTGCCCTAAATCTTACATCAACCATTTGCTTTTGTTTAAATTTTAGAAACTATTATGATAACACAAGTTATATTGAAATATGTGTGCTTGTCACCAGAATTTCAAGTTCTAATCTTACATGTATATTTTTATTATGAGAATGTATTCCTTTTACCTTTTATCAATAGAGCAGGTTGGGAGTTGTATTTTAAGAAAAAAGAGAAGAAATTTTTTTATTTTTAATAAATATTGTCTAATTTTAAATATTTTTAAAATGAAATAATAAATTAGAATAATTTTAATGTATGCATATTTTATTTATTTTTATAAATATTGTATAAGTTTTTTAAAAATAAAATATTTACTATTTTTTCTCTTCTTCCTACTATTTGATATTCTTCAATACATATTTTTTCCTGTATTAACGACCATTAAACTACTAAATTGTCAATTTAGAAGTTAAACATTAAATATAAATTATACATTAAAAAACTTCGAATTATTAGATCTATAAATTCTGATGAAACCTCTTCCAATTTTGAACCTCTGTTTAATTAAATTATTTATTTCATGAAAATTTTGTCCTATATAACCAAATGAAAGATATATTTACAGCCATCCTTCTGCTTGAAGGATTTGACTGAATCCAAAATTTGAATCTATTAACATTTACTAAAATTAACTTCAATGTATTAGAAGTTTATTCGTTGAGAGTGTTTATTGTCATTTTAAAATATCAATTACTAGTATTATATCTTATTAAGAATTTTTTATTTAAATATTATTATTAATTTAACTAACTAATAAAATTAAATATATGATAATAAATATTTTAAAATTATAATAGACCCACCTTTATTTTTCTAATAATTATCTAATAGCAAACACACATACCTTGTCCCCATCAATGAGGAAAATGGGCCTAATCAGAGGTTGGCCCATTTAATAAACAATCCGAAAATTTGAAGAAAAAAAAAACCAATATTGACCAAAAGGGAAATTTTAGAAAAACTAAAACTGGATTAAAGTCATAACCTTTTAATATCCTCTTTAGTTTATTTCTAACTTCTTTCAATTTATTTTAATAAAATTTACAGTCAAACTTAATAAAATAAATGGTTCTTGGTTTGTTTAGTAAATTTTAGAGGTAATCTTGTGATATAAACTCTCATGATAAACTTGTTAAATACTGAATTAAATTTGTTGAGCATTCTTAGATAATAGCTTTCTTAATTTTGTAAAGTTATCTCTTTCTTCTGTAAATTCCAGTACAACTAAATTGAACAAAAAATTAAAAAAAAGAAAAATTAAGAATGAACAGTTTAGTAAATCCATATTCTTGTGATTTGTGTACCGAAATAGGTATTTCAAATCACCCAATGATGTTTGGTTCTACACAATATTTAATTTTTAATTACAGAAGTATCACTTTAGTTTTATTATACTTTTTATTTTTCAAATATTTGCAAATAATAATAATAATTTTTTGGGTTTCCTATAAATGTTTAAAAATAAAATTCAAACAAAAATAAGTTAATAATTTTATAATTAAAAGTAAAAAAGTTGTAATACTCAAGAAAAGCAATGCTAACATAACAGAAGCTTTGAGTTGAACATTTGAGACAGTAAAGTTGGTGAGATTTGTGAAAAGGAAAGATGAAGATGTAGATTCAATAGTTGGAGAGGCAAAAGATTCAACAGACTCCTTTAATGGCTTAAATTTAAGTGCAATTTTGTTTCTGTAATTTAAGTGTAATTTTGTTTCTTTTTTTTAATGAATCCAAATGACTAAAAGGAGTTTACCAAAAAATACTACGGAAAGGATGAATTCGCAATATTTATTATATTTCTCAATAGTATATGTAAATATTTATAAAATAAATTTCTTTACTTTTGTTCTTTTATTCAATATGTACAGAATAATGCAATTTAGTTTATTTAAGGTATAAAAAATCTATATGTTGTACAATATGTTTTATTTTTATTTAATTATTTCTATTAAATAAAATAAATTTATTATAAATAAAAGCAAAAATTAATTATGCAGTTAAATAATAATATTCATATAAAATTGTTAAAATTTTAAGAAAACTAAAGAATTTAAAGTCATAGTAATATGTATTTAAATGTTGACATTTTTAAATATTTTATAAATAGTAATAAATAAAAATCTTGTTTTTACTATAAATTTCAACTAATTTATAATAATTTATTTAAAAAATAATTAAACCTATAAACTTAAGAAACAGATATAAATTTAGTTTTTTCTAAAATAATACTTAACAAAATGATTTTTTCAATATAATGTTTTAGATATTAAATTATAATAATTTCATTCTTGTTTAGTTTTATATTTGTAATAAATTTTTTGTTATGAAAGGCTAAACACCTTATAAATATATTATGTTAAATGAAAATTAAATCATAATAATTTATTTAAAATGATAATTTTTTATATTTTATTTTAAAACATGTTTATAAACTAAATTTTATCCAAAAGAATAATAATTTTTAATTATATTAAATTTTTAACAATTATTTTTATTTGGTATTCATTTTTTTAAAAAAAAATTAGTAGTATGAAAAGCCATATACTTTATACATATTTTATAAGTAATAACTATAACATTTAATAATACTTTTATTATATATATGTAGACACTCAATACTAAAGTGTAGTTCATTTTAAATATATACATAGAGATGTTCAAAAGAACATGGAAATCCCAATCTTTTGCATATACTTAACCGTTATGGTTCTTTCTTCTCGTTAGGGAAAAGAAGACTTTTGGGTCGTCCCTCAAACATTCTTTGCTTGCTTTGTTTACCCTCATACATACATTTCAAATACCCTCTGAACTTCTTGCAACTATATCTAACTAAGTACAGATCCAACTCATATTCCATCATACCTTATAATCGCGATCTTAAACATACTCACCACAAAAGATCTTATTTACTCATCTTCTTCATCATGGGCCTCCTTGGAACAATGGCAAGACATTTGGACACAGTAATAGGGTAATTTAATTTCTCTATCATTATGCCAGTTCTTTTTATTAACAGAAATCTTAGCTAAAATTTCTTATAATTCTATTATTAAGATTTTAGATTAAGTAATGACACGTAGTATTTTTTTTTTTTTGCCCAACCTACGATCTTTTTAAGAGGTTATTTAATGTTAGAAAAAAAAAATAAATGTCATTGTTTAATTTGAAAACTTAATAATGAAAACATGAAAAAACTTAATCTAAGTTTTATTTTTCTCATTATGTTTCATACATGTACATTGTTTTCAGTCTGCTACTGCAATTGATAATTACAATAATCCCCCGTAATATTTTTTCATGAATTAATAATTTACAAATTGTATTTAGGGTTTGGGCTTTTAATTTTTGTTTCTTCTCGTCAGAACATATATCTAACATTATACCATTTTAATTTTTTTTGGTTTTGTGTATACCAGGCCTGGAGTAATGCTTCTTTATCCTTTGTAAGTATATATGGGCGAATCCCATATCATCAATTTTCACTTCCTAATTTCTGTGATTAATTCTTAAGTGAAATGAGAAGCAGCACAAACTGATCATAGGCATGCTCATACTCTGATGCATGAATTATGATATGATATGATATGAGTTACTAAATTCCTTGTGTTATGAGTAAATATAACAGATACGCATCAATGAGGGCAATTGAGACTCCTTCAACCTTAGATGATCAGCAGTGGCTAACATATTGGGTTTTGTACTCCTTCATCACCCTCTTTGAACTTTCATGTTTCAAGATTCTAGCATGGTACGTACATATTATAACAAATAAAATTTAAAGCATGTTTGATATAACTTAGGAGGAAACTTTAAAATTTGTCAAAAGTTTTACAATGAAGCTGGCAGAAATTTAAAAGAAAAATTGTCTAGAATAAGTTGAATCAAATATAATAGCGACTTAAAACTATTTGTGTGGCTAAACAATTAATTTATACATGTTTAGGTTTCCAATTTGGCCATACCTGAAGCTTGTGTTTTGCCTCTGGTTGGTATTGCCAATGTTCAATGGAGCTGCTTACATGTATGTGAAGTACGTGAGAGAATATGTCAAAAATATAGGAAACTACTATGGAAATTCTAAGTATCCTGAGGAGCAAAAGAAAGTTCTTGAGATGATGAGTTTGGATGCAAGGAATGCTGTTGAACGTTATATAGATACATATGGCTCTGATGCCTTTGAGAGAGTAATCAAAGCAGTATGTTACAGATAAACAACTCCAACTAGCTATAAATAATACTTAATTAACTTTTTATTTCTATGTTTTTAACATTTTTTTTTATATTTTACGTATATTCTTGAATTTGCAGGCTGATAAAGAAGCAAGGAAGCACTGAAGATTAATTTGACAAAATTGATACTTTCAGGATTTATATATATTGTAATCATTGCTGTGTATGAATGAGTGAGTCTCAGAATTACCGTTTGATTAAAATGACACCAATGTTGAGCTTTTGTTATATTTATATGGCTTCTCCATGGTATGAGAGAATTAAGGGCCTTTTATTGGGGGGATAGATTTAGTTATTTCATAAAACAATATTAGATTAGTTTTAATTCTTCAAAATGCTTTTACCGCAATTCCATCACAACAATTTATTCCACCAAAACTTAAATGCACAGGTCAAGAGCTTATTTTTCTCTTTCCCTCTCAGGTCATAACATTTATTATTTTTTTTTATTTCCCTTTTTATCTCTTACTAAGTATATACACTTAATAAATACATAAATATCATTTTCATACAGTTATTCAATTATGCGGAGCAACACTAACAACTACTTAGTATACATTTTATAAATATCTACTTATAAGAACACAACTTGTATAGGAATTTATAAATAAAATTATGTATGTTCATGTAAGTTCAGTTTGAATCATAATGGATCAATTTTAAAAATTAAATTTAAAATTCAATCGAATTTGATAAAATAATAATAATAATAATCCTTTTAGTTTTTAATTTAACCATCTTGCAATTTGTTTGGTTTTATTTTGGATTGAATCCATCTATCAGCATTATATTTTAAGTCGCTTGGGTCATGGCTTGGTTCATGAAGAGGCATAATAGTTGTGGAAGTTTGGGTGGTGCTTGGTAAGGCTGTGAGAGGAAGTTGGAGACGATGACTTTCAGGTAATGGAGGTTTGTGCGGTTCTGAAGCTTGCGGTGTTTCCAATCCTTGCTGGTGGTTGAGAGTTGAATTCCTCTCTCAATGTTGCCTTGAAAAGAATGTACAAGTGGAAGAGAGAATCAGGGAAGGAAAAAAGGGGTCTGAAGAGAGAGAAAGATAGTTGGTGAAGAAAATGACAAGTGATGCCATGTGCCACTTAATGTAACGTCAACAATTCTGTTAAAGGTTATTAAGATCTACCAGGAACTAAATTTACAGACATTTGTGGACAAACGTAGTTTAGTCAATAAGAATTCAGATCTAATCCTATTACTCATGTAAGAACTTAGTCGGGGTAATTTACAAATTACTGTAGTTTTTAATTTTTTTAAAAAAATGAAAAACTTTTAAAAGACTTTTCCCTGTTTGAAATTTTTTTTAAATAAGAGGGAGTTTAAAGATTTTTAAATGTTCTTCAAAACTCCTTTCGTTTGTAGTTTCTGAGTTTTCTCATTTTAAAAAGTTTTTAACGTCCACATAAAAGATAACTATGACTTTCTTTCCTCTTTTCTTTCATTCTGTTCGCTTTCTTCTTAAACCTTTTCCTTTTTTCTTTCTCTTCTAAACTCCAAACAAAGTTTAAAGCGAAATGGTTTCAAGTAGCATAACCCAAGAATAATCGAAGGTATCAGCGACCAACATCTTTGGCGATAAATTCTGAAACTCCAAAATATAGACCTACATTGTTAAGAGGCTAGAAGGAATTATATCAATTTTCCACCAGTTTTAGCAACCTGACAATAATTATACATGAACAAATTTGTCGTGCTCATGGGTGGATACATACACTATCCAGGCAAAAACTAACATCATAAAATGATGAGTTACACCTAAAATTTGTACATCCCTACCCCAGTCAGTAGTCACACCAATGGGAATGGCAGAATGGAGTTATCCTGATCTATGTTCAGAGGGGTTTCGGGTGTGCTTCGCTCCTGGACTACGTTTGATAGGACCCGAGATTACCAAGCCATTCAGATCAGAAGAATCAAAGCCAAGATAACTTCCCGGATTTAGATTCTGAGCCTCATTCTGACAACATTTACTTCTTGCACCCACTGGGGCATCAAGTTCAACTGCTCTTGTGTTTGGAAGCAAATTTGCACTACTTAAGTTTTTCTTCACTTCTAAATTAGGTAACTTATTAGGTTTTGCAGGATCAACAAGATTAGCTGCGGGTCTTCTCCTGGAATTTGAGCGTGGCTGATAGTCTTTGGCACTCGTATCATCTGGCTTCACCCTGGCAGAGACCTTAAATATGTTCCTACAACCACTATTTATGGCAGGGGGTGGTTTGGTAACGGCCGTAACTAAAGCATGTGGAGGCTGAGCAACTGATGTAGGGCAAAGCAGGGGGGTCTTCCTGGGACAGTGAGAAGTCAAAGAATTTGGAGGATACAAAACATCTGCAGAATGAATCACAGATGGGATGGTAAAATTATTTCTCAATGTATCTTGAGGGAAACTATTACTAGAAGTCCCTGGTAGCCTTTCATGTGTTGAGCCTAATAACCATGGGGGTAAACTTTTATAGGACCTCTTAAAACAAGATGTTTTGGCTTGTTCTTCAACTACTGAGTGCAAGAAAGGAAATCCAAACGCTGAATTCGTAACACGATGGTGCTTCGTCCAGTCATTCAGCTCACCATTGCTTAAAGTAGACTGACTGAAATTGCAAGGTGAAGGTAGTGCCTGAGCCTGAAAGCAGAGTCCCTCAGGTTTAGCTCCAGATATAAATTGCTCAGCCAAGTCATCGGATGCCCTATTATATATTTCACATGCAGTAGGTGTTTGGGTAAAAGGGTGCAAATTAGAACTAACGTTTCTGCTGACTCCAAGGCTTCCATTTTGAGATATATGATTACTTTGCAGGCTAAGAAATTCAGAGTTTGGACCTTTCATCAGTAAGATATTTTGTAATGCCTGATTCCCCTGAATTTTCACTGGTTGTAAAACATTCTCGGTTGTTATCTGTAATGGAGAACCAGATACCCAATCCTGCATAGAGCATCTTCCCAATAAAGTATTGTCTTTAGTAGCATCTACAGAATAATGCCTTCTTTTGGATTCCTCATCGGCCCAAAGAGCTCCACCCACAAATTGTTGCTTTTCTTTGCTGCTTCTACCAATTGGAACATCTTTACCCATCAACCTCATTGTGGGTTGGCTGGAACTTCGTGAAACAAGATCCGAACTTCCTTTTGGAGAAACCATTCCATATTCCTTGTGGTTTGGCACCTCGTCAAGTTGATTCTGTTTAACGAAAGGATTTCTCGTAAGGTTATACTCTGAATCAAGCGGCTGGACATAGTGATTGGAGCAATTATCAAAATTATGCTGGTAGATATCTGCTCTCTCCTTTCCATGAGATTCTCTAACACCTAAACTGCCTGGATAATGCGGAAATGGATTTAGCGGATCTTGAACTGTCTTCTGAACAATATGCCTCTTACCAATGCTCAAATATTCCTGGCTATTTTGTGAAACATTAGTCATAGATAAGCCACTTAAAGAACCTCTTAATGTACAAGATGTCTCTGGCTGGTTCATCCCGACTTTTCCACTTGAACTGAAGTTGATTAACTCACCATGAGAATTGAGTGGTAATCCGAAAAAGTTATGCTCCGTGCAGTTATTTCTTATACTTCCTTTACCCAAGCCAGGCAAGAGAAACGAATTATCAATCACGTCAGCAGAAAACATGCCAGACCACGATCTGCTACCCGAAGGTTGGCCATTATTATCACTTTCTCCATAAGTATGCAATGAAAATTCAGGTCTCCCATTCCTTTCGTTATAGGAAGCAGAATAAGAGGGTGAAGGCTCTAAATACGTCCTTGTTTTAGTATTTGCATGCACAGCGGCAGACTGAAAAGTTGGATCACCCAAATGATCAATTAACTTTCTAGTGTAACCAAAACCTTCAGATTCACACGCTTGTGTATTTATACCACAAGTCTGCCCGGATTGAAATGCTGAAAGAGATGTAGAAACGTCAGCATATGGCGAAGCATGCATTGTAGTTGTGCTGCCTCTATCAAACCGATGTAAATTATGATCACAGAACGCCTCCTTGGACAATGATTCAGACTTCTCTATTAATTGCTTTGATTTCTCTTGATTGGTACATGGCTTCAAGAAATTTTGTACAGAAACTTGTCCCAGAGTGTTAGAGAATTGTCTGCTTTCAATTATAGGACAAACCTCCTTTCTCTTATCTGTGTTAATGGCAATGTTTACGTCAATTATGTTTTCCTCTAAATTCGCAGTTCCTTCATCACTTGCAGAGGGCTGCTCCTTTCCAAATGAAGGAGCCAGCGCATCTGAGGATAACTTGAACACAGTTTCATCAAATGAGTGTCTATTTTGTTTAGCAAATACGAAATCCTTAGCGGAAAATCTCACACGTCTTTCTGATGATGGCACTTGAACATCACACTGGCTTTCTCTAGTCGCATCTCGAATGTTACTACCACTTGAAGTACTTCCAGAAATATGTTTGTGATTCATAAGAATGCCACGAATGGGAGACACTGCTTTTTGTTGCTTTCCAACCGAGTCCCAAATTTTTTCCTTCCTTTCTTCTGATAAGATCTTTAAATCCAATTTCTTTTCATGAGTAGAAGCATCAATGTCATCAAGTTTAATCTTTTTATTCCCAACAGTATCTAACTTTCTAGAATTATATACTGGCTTTTGCACCTTGCGTTTATAAGCACCTTCCTGAGACACAAAATTAACCAACTTGATTAAGCTTATTAATAAAAATAACACAAAAAAGTAACGTGAGAGTAAGCGCAGATTTCAACTGCTATATGCAATCAACGGAAAGAGGGGCGGGAGGGACTTCAGTAACTCAATGGAACCAAATTTTCGATTCAAAATGGTTTATTTCCTCCTTTCAAACGTTTTGTTTCTCTCTTTTCTTCTTTTCTTAAGCTTCTGCCATTTTCAAGCTGAGGAATTCCAGTTCTTAAAACTAGCAACATACCGTCCATGTATTCCATCAATAGTTGAAAATAAAAATAAAATGTGAAAAACATATATATAACTTTAAAAAATATTTAAGGAAAGTTTATTTTTCTAGTAATAAAATAAACAAAAAGCATTAAAAAAATTATTTTAAAAATTACCAAAAAGTAATTTTATTAATAAAATATTATTATTTTAACTAGTATTTGTAAATATTACATTACACTTAATATTGATTGAAGAATTTGAATGTTAATTTAAATAATTTAAAAACATAGTTTCTTTTAATCAGATAAATAAATAAAAAATAATAATTTTCTTTCATGTACAATTAATAAAATATGGATAGTTAAAATAAAAAAGGTATCACAACATAAAAATGAGACTATATATTAAGATCATCTTTAAGAATAAAAATTTAAGTTTATGATATAAGAGTAAAATAACACGGTATGTCTGACAAGAAAAAAATAAAGGGAAGCTCCTTGAGGCAGGCAACCGTTTTGTAGTGTTTTTTAAAAGACGAAAATATTATTTTAATTAAAACATGTTAAAAATTTATAGCAATTACATATTTATTTCAAAATAAAACGTTAAAAATATCATCTTAATACTATTTTCTAAAGTTTAAAATTAAAACTTCTTTGAAAATCAGAAAATCATAGTATAAAATAGCTTTTCTTAAGCTTAAATAATCGTAGCTTCAACATTTAAAATTTATCTGTTTCACATTAAATGAATGCAATTTTTAAAATTTATCTCGAACTCTATTGATGGACTTAAAAGTAACCTAATCTGATACAAACTGAAAATAAAAATGAAAATGTTTGTAACCTATTTAATAAAAATATTTATATATCTATTATTTAAAAATATAAAATATATTAAATACTTTATCCATTTAATAATTAAAAATATTTATAAAAAAATAGTAAGATTTAAAATTATATTTTTAAATCTCTTGTACTATGGTTACAAATAACCAGTGCAAGGGATGTGATAGGCGCAAATAAATTTTTCTTTTTTAGGGGTGATTTGAGAAAAATTAGAAGGGAATAGAGAAAGGGATAATTTTTTTGTTTCAAATTAAATAAATTACTAATATATTAAATTCATGTCAATTTATTATTTTTGTTTTTAAAAATTATTAAGTTAAAATACATTTATTCAAAATAAAAATTATTTTTCCTTCTCTCTTCAAAACTCCCTTCTCATGTAATTTCACAAGTAATCAGAACAAAACTATTGAAATTAGTCTGTTTAATATTTATTTTCAGAAGAGGTAAATATATTCATTATGGGCAAATATTTCTGGTTTTTTCTTTTTGATAGAGATAGGTAAAGAGTGTATAATCTATTTCTAACTACCACTACATGTGTGTGAGAAAAGACATGGGACGTCTTTGAATAATTCCCTGGCTATTTTTATTCACTTCCGCTTTATATAAATATTAGAAACAAATGATTAGTGGCAACACTTATAACAGCAGGCTACACACAAAATAAAAAAACTTACAACGGGCAGTGATCAATACCCTCGACCATGGCATGCTGATATTTATAAAGCAACACTAGTGATTATATATTACATTATTTTCCCTCTTTAAAAGAAACAGCCAATATTTTTAGCATAGTGTAACATGATTGATTGATGAGTTTAACTTGATGCATTTTTATTTCCAGACCAATGATGTAGAATCACACTGTTTAATGAATTTGATTATGTTGACAACTATAAAAATCATTAAATGATGTTATATCATACACAATATACAGACACAAGTTAGAGTTCAATTGTTGTGTACATTTTCACAGTAAAGCCTTTTCAATGAGTTCAAACATGAACCAATACAAAAGTTCTATTTCCTAACTAGTGATTATGAATTTCTGATATGATAAATGCTTTCAATAATTTGATTATTAAAAAATCATCGTGTAATATATTTTTCAGTGCATGAAAATTAAAACCATAATTATAAATATAAGAATACATATTTGTTCATAATTAAACTGCAATAGAACTACATATCTTATTTATACATATGTAACTGGCGCAATGTATTAGAACTTTGTTTCCAACTTTTTCATATTTATAACAGAAAAGAAAAAATAGAATTATTTTAACTAATATTGTAAAGTGTAAACTACATATCCCTAAAACTGCTTTAGTTAACAGAAGAAACTTTAACGAGCTTATTCAATTTACTATAATATTAATTTGAAAACGTCTAGTTGTAAATGAAATTAAGCTCATGCATGAAGTAATATATATATATATATATATATATATATATATATATATATATATATATATAATATTATATTATATTATAAATCAAATTCATATTTTTGCTTTTTAAATAAAATTTTAATTTTCTTAATTATTTTCATCAACACCTAAATTTCTCCAGTCAACTCTATGTATGATGGCATAGTGTAAATCCCTATTAAAATCATACTTCATAGATTAAGCAAATTTTAAAACATTTTTAAATTAAAAAATAAAGATATGTAACTTTTAAAATTTTGGTTTATATTTTTCCTTAACAATAAATCAATCTTTTAATAATTAAATCATTTTTATTAAATATTTTTAAATTTTATTTTTTAAAATCAACGTATTCGAACTAATTATATATATTATACTTTTCAGTTCAGTACCTTTTAAGTCCTAACGACAGCTTTTGCTACTTCGAATTTTTATTGCATTTTATGGTAAAATAACCCATATTTGTAGTAACTGAATAATCGTATTCTATCACAAAATATTCACTTTGACGAATCATAAAGGGAAAGTTTCTGTCTGAAAGAAATATTATACGAAGTTCTTTAATATACTGGTAAAAGGTACGTTTTATTTTAGAACAATACAGTCTTACCAATTGTTCAAATGATTATATTTATAGTAGTTACGCTAACACATTAAAAACACATATGTAGCAAAAATACAGTTATACATTTATGATAAAAATAATTTATATTTGTTAAAATTATGTAATTTTAACGACCATAAAAAGCATTATTAAATATACATTTTTATCAAGCACATTTTAGCTTTTAGAAATAAAATTCGAGATGAATGAATCCGTTGAAATGAGGAAAAGAAATAACCAATAGTTATAAAAATGAGATTTAAAATTAAAAAATTATAAGTAGAGCATCATTTCTGAGGTAAAAAATTGATTATTGCAATTCCTTACACAAGATATGAAGAAGATTGAGTAATAATAATAAATTTACAAAATCGGGCTAAAGCAAATGCATGAATATGTTTAAAATATATTTTAAATTCTCAAAAACTTCGGGGCTTCTATGCAGTGAACAATATATATGCACCTCCATAAAATAAGAATTACATGTTTTTCATCCCGTTCGAAATTCAATGACTTCCATATATAGAGTCTCGATACCAAAAAGTTCAGTAGTTCACTCTATTTTCATCAATAAAAACTCATTACTGGATGACTGGAATGTGAAGTATAACTAAATTAGTCTTGAAACTTCTAGATTTAAAGTAATACTACAGGCATCATTTCTTCTAACAGTAAGGCCAGTCGAGTCCAACTTTGGAATTTCATTGCATTAATGTGATCATCTGGTTTTTGGGTACATGTCTAGTCTAGGGAAAAAGTTAGCACCAACCAAATATCACCTTATATCAGCATTGTGTAACCTCCATGAATTGATATCAGCCCGAATTACCATGTACCGATATCACTTTCGGGCATATCTTTTTCCGTAGCATTATACACTCTCCGCCTAGGTTTGATCTGTAATCCACTCATTGATTTAATTTTATCTAAAAAACAAGGATTATTTACCTCATTTCATACACCACTTTTATACTCTTTTTTTCCTTCGAATAATTTATATTAGAATTTTTTTTTATTTTAAAAATGTTATATGAATAATGTAATAATAATAATATTGAATGACGGTATTAAAAGAAATACAACTAGAAAAAATGCGCTAACTACAAGCCACTTGGCTTGTGACTGAGACATAGATATAGACATTGAGCTATTCTCACCATAGACCATCGCACAACACCTTCGGTATAAAAATCAGACGAGACTCGCTTCCACGTTATCATCCACAACACCAAAATAATCATACATATGGGATATTAGGATGTAGAATAATAGATGGCCACCCACCCCAACGTTACTGCATAAAATTAACCGGATAACGCCCATACGATAAAGATCTACTACATTACTCCAAAACACTACAAATTTTCAAACGAGGTGTCCATCTCGCATTGCATAACAAAACATTCACTGAACCGCATCATTTCATAATTTCTGGTGTTCACTAACTGACCAAATAATCGCACTACCCATATCTTATCCAGCTGCAAGCTGTATCCAAACCTATGTCAGAAAAACTAGCCATCATCACAGAAGAGAAAATACATTTATCTAGCTATCTACCCGTGGCCCATATGATAATTACCCCAAAATTATTAGCTAATAGTGACGAGGCAGAGAAAACCCCTCATCATTAGGCTCTCAGGTCTTCTACCTAGTAACCCATGGGTGGCCCCTTCTAGCTAGGATAACTTGTACCAACTAAACAGCTCACAGATGGATCAACATTCTTGCAGCGCATGTCGCACCCACGAATAGGCCCTCATCTTCAATATTTATAACGCTCTTTTCCACGAATTTCACATAAGCACGTAACTAGAAACCCCTCAGTCTCTACCACAAATCACGAACGTGACGCTGTCTCTCAAAACCAGCTATTTCGGCATCAATTTTATTCCGAAAAAGCAACATATAGAGTTCGCAAACCTATTATCGCATGGCTTAATCAACACAGAAACTACAGTATTGAGTTATATTTTATGCTTAAATGCAAATTAGCTGCAAAGTACGGGAACTAGCATGCGTACATGAAAGATTAACCTATATTTTATGGCATGAAACCACACATAACATGAAGACATGCAGAAAAACATACCTTCTTTGCAGTGAACTCGTTGTTTAACAATTTTTTCTTCTGTGCCTTCTTCTTTTTATTCATCTTCTTACTCTCGTTGTTCAGAGGCAAAATACGTGGTTTTTCCACCTTGCTTTTTTTCTTCGTAAACTTCGTCTTTTTCTTTTTTGACACGTTTTTGTTTGAACTCTTTCTCGTGCAATTGATTGTGGCACCATAGAAACCAGTTTTCACGAATTGTTCTCTGTTCGCTTCATGTTCGTCTTCTTCCTCAGCCTCCGCCACGAAATCGCCGTTGCCGGTGGCGTCGATTTGCGGCGCAACGGTGAGAATCTCCGCAATCGAGCGTTTCTTCGGTGCTTTGGGCTTGGGATTCAAACCCAGCCTCCTCATCTGCCACCGCTCATCCTTCATTGCCTTCGCAAGGCAACCATCGATATGCGCATTCACCGCCGTCACGGTTGCGGCGTTGAAAACCCTACAAACAGGACAAACCATCTCCAATTTCTCCTCTTCCTCCGCAGAATTCGAGTTTCCTTCATCAGATTTTGCCGATTCACGCGAAATTCCGTTGGATCTCAGCGCTTCAAGTCGCCGCGAGAGCCACTGGAACTTCGTGACCGTAATCGAAACCTCGTCGGCGTCGAACGGCCAGACTTTCAACACCGTCTCGATCTCCGGAGGCGGCTCCTCCTCTTCTTCATCCTCCTTCAGGTCGAAAATCTCCGCTATGGACCGCTTCTTCGGCGCCTTCGACTTCGATCTCCTCATCTGCCGCCGCTCCTCCCTCATCGTCTCCGCGAGACAACCATCGATGTGAGCGTTCACCGCCGTCAGCGTCGCCGCGTTGAAGTCGCGGCACACCGGACAAACCATCTCCATCTTCTCTTCCTCCTCCTTTTCCGACGCACCGACCCCGGCAAAAGAGTTATCCTCGTCGACCGATTTGCTTCGAGAAACCACCTCCTCATGGCGACTCTCCGTTCCTTCCTCTCCGCCAGCTCCGTCGAGGTTGGATCTCAGTCCGGCGACCTGGTCGGAGCAGCAGCGAGACTTGGGAACAGTCATCGGAGGCAGCCAAGACTCGATGTCCTCCTGGCTAACCTCGGCGGCGGCGAATGGCCAGCATTTGAAAACGTCGACGGACCTCATCTTGGAAGTGTAGTCCCTGCCACACCGAATCAGAACCGCAGAAAGAAAGAGACACAATTAGTTACAGTGACAGTGATAACAATGGAAACAAATTAAAACCAACAAAAAAAATAAAAAATATATATGTCCATAGATAAATAACTATGTGCCTTATGGAGAATCCGTGGAACGTAAGTGGCATGATTGGTGACAGAGGAAGATGAAGATTATGAAGAAGATGAAGAAGAGAGAGAATGGCGATAACAGTATTAGAGAGTATGTTTCCCGCTCAAGAGGGAGGGTGTGTTGTGAGTGTGATTTTCCGTAGCATTTTACTTTTATGTTCATCTTAATTTATGACCGAAAAGGACATATGAGAGAGTGGCAAGTGCGACCCCAGCCTCAAAAAGCGACTTACTCTCGCCACTCACGCTCCACACACATGCATCCCAACACATCACCATTTCACCGTTTATATTTCTAAATATTTCCTTTTAAACTATTTTAAGATCTATTATTATGTTATTTCTTATATCTCTTTCATTTAATTAAATTTAATATAATAAATTATTTATCATTAATAATTAAATCACTTAAAAGTAAAACAACTCACAAATTACTTTATATTTTTTTATTTTCTCTACTTTTCATTTGTTTTATCCAAAATGTACGAGTATTATTCGTGTGAATGATCGTCTAATTTATCATCTGAAATTAAATTTTCATTTTTCTAAGGTTATTTTTGGGAGCGAAAGAGAGGAGAGAGGAGGGAAAGGAAAGGGATTACTCTTGTTTGAGAGTTACTAAATTAGGAGGAGAAGGTTTTGAGAGTATTTCAAAACTCTTCAAAAGCTTATTTTCTGAGTTCCTCTATTTTAAAATTTTCTCTCTCTTACTCTTTCATATTATTTTATAAATAGGATTTTTTAATTTTTTTTAAATGTTAATTTTTCAAGTGATAATTTGTTTAAAATAATTTAAAAAATAAAAATATTAATTTTAAAATTATTTATATAATTATATAATTAAATCCCCTGTCACTCTCCCTTCTCAATATTAAGCATTCAAACAAAAGAAGGGTTTAACCTCCTTCTCCCTTCAAACTCTTCTCTTTCCTCTCCCTCCAAACTCTCAAACAAAACTTAAGGCGTTAGAGAGTAAAATGAATTTTTAATTTTTAATTAAAATTGATACTTGAATTGTCTCAAAATTAAATTCATAATGAATTATAATTATATTTCTTCACTTTTTTTTTGCTTTAAATAATAATCATTTTAATAGAAATGAGAGAAAAAATTTCATAATGATATCAAACTTTCGCATAACTAGAGATACAAACTTTAACAATATAAAATTACGCGTACTTATTCGACAAAACTATAAAATAATATTAGGTTAATACTATTTGATATATAATATATTACTTTTAGCTCTTCACACTTTTTTATATCCAAAAATATAAGGAAAAAGTACATGTTAAAATGCGTGTCTTTCTTACTTTACAATATACAAAAAGTAGTCTCATGTTTTGTTCAATTTTTTTAATCAAACAAATGTGAGGAGCAATGTGTGTAGCTAAATAATTTAATTAAATAGTTATTTTATAAATTTTTATGACAAAAAAGTGAAGTGGAGCTCTTTTTTATTGCAATGACATTATTTACTATATTTAGGTCTATTTCCATTTGATTTTTCTTGTAGAGTTGAGCCCTGATGTGTATGAAGGTTAAAGAAATTTAATGTTCATAAAAAATTATTAAGTAGAATAAATTAAGACTTACTCTTAAAAAAAAATATTTATCTCTTATTTTATATTTTTGACAACTTTAGTGATGGTTTTAGGCTTATTAACCTTACTTTTTAATGTGATTATAAAAGACAAAAGAAATTAAAGCATATAAAATTATAAGAGTAAATTATTTATTTTAAAAATCGTAGACTTAGTAGTTTATTGTCAATATATCAAATTTATAAAAAATGTTACAGTGGCACGCATGGTTTCATAGAAACAAGGTGTTCTTATTTTGATTAAAGGAAGTAGATGAATGAAAATTCTGAATTTGTCAATTTCTTAGTTTTCTGGATTACAAAAGCCATTAGCTATGCATGCTGCATGCTCCATAACAGTGGATTTCTAAATAGAGAAGTAATACGATGATCAATCCCAACTCACTTGTAGGACATATGCTAGGTGAGTAACCAAACAATATTTGTAAATTTGAAAAAATTTGTATATATATTTTTTATTTTTTAAAATTAATAATTATAATTCTTTTAATATCTTAAAAATTAAAAAAAATATTTATTTTTTAAATAAATTATTAACTCTATTAAATTGTTTTACGTGTGTAAATATAAAAAGAAAATATTGTTTTCACACTAGTATAAATTTAAAAAAATTTATATTAAATTTTAATCTTTCATTTAACTTATATTTAATAGTCAATAAATTAATAAATTATAATTCGTTTGATATAAGTTAAATAAAAAATTCAGATATTAAAATTATATTAGTGTAAAAAAATTACGTTCTAATATAAAATATTTTATAAAATTAAAATTTCTATTAAACTTAATAAAAATTAAACCTTTAGTTTAATAATTGTAGGTCATTCATATATTAAAAAATTGCAGAAATCGTGGTCCGTTGGGCAACTCATTTATCTCTGTTTGAACTATCGAGATCAGTATGTCATGGATACTTTAATTTGTAAGGGCTGTGTCATTTATTCTTGTTAATAAAAATAGTAATATCACGTGCACACATTTCAACAAGTCATTATATATGTCATTGTTAAGCATAGCATATTAAAGGAAAAAAAATAACTAATTAATATTTTAAGAATACTGATTAAGATATAAAAATAAAGTCTTTTTATAAAAAAAAATATATTGTTAACTTATTATTATATTTAAAACAATTTTTCATGATTTTTAATATTATATTTAGTAATTTGTATTCGTAGAATATAATGAAATGACAAAATAAAGAAAGTGTATAAAGCATCTGGGCAAAAGCTCGAGCCTTGAAGAGCACATACATTTAAGAAAAAAAAAAAACCTTTATTGAATTTTATTTTATTTTTTTTGCACATTATATATTGCTTAATAGTAATATTTTATCTTGATCTCATTGACAATAAATGATTTTATTTTTATAAATAATATTTTAAAATGAATTCAGTTATTTGCAAGTAAAAACATCAATAAAAATAAAAATATTTTAGTGTTATATAATATATATAAATATTATATATTTAAATGCGCGATTCAAATTGAATCCAAATTAAAGTGGATAAGAAATAAAAAAAATATTATATATGAATTTTTATTCATTTTAAAATGATTTAAAATAAAAATTAGGAAACTTTTAAAAAAATAGTTCAGACTTTTTCTTTTGCTGGTTTTCTTAGTTGTTACAATTTTTGCCCAACTAATAGAACAGATCAATTTAGTCTAATTTTATAACTATTTTCATGAGAGGATAAAACCTTATTTTCTTTTATTATTCTTTTACTTTTCTTATCTTATCAACAGTAACTACTATATATATATATATATATATATATATATAAGGGTGTAGAGCTTATAGATATGACCATCTAATTGTACACATATTCTCAGCACTTGCGAAACTCTTATTCTAACTTAAATATTAGAAAATATTTACAAAATTTCATCATTCACAACTATTTATTCAAAAATTCGTTGCTAATTTTATTTAATTTTGGATTCATACTTTAATTTCATTAATATATACTTAGCCAACCGTATTGCTCACACTTCGATTGTTAGATATTCAAACAGTGACAATACCATTTTAATATCTTTCATCTTCTTTGTCTCTTTTTCTATAATATTATATTAAAAAGAAATTATCTCTGGATGTGAAAACCACTTGGAAAATCTACTAAATATTTTCTGAAAAGATATTATTATATCTAACGCATTCAAGTTCTATAGACCATGCCAAGGGAACTATAATTGTGAAATCGACCCTTGGATGAACATTTGCAGCTAGAATTGATAACGAAGGTCCCACATGAGATGCTCCAAGGAAAAGGGGATTGAGACGAGATTGGGGGAAATCGAGGACATTATCACCTGCTTAAATGGAAGAAGATCACATATGTCTTTTGATGCTGTAACTTTTATGGATGCTGATGCATCAGTTCATGTAAAGGGTGACATTTTAGTATATATGGTGACCAAGGAGATGATATTTTAGATTTACGTTAGTGTGAAAAAATCGTGCCTATATATTAATTATATTTAATGATTTAAACTTAATTATACTTAATACATTAAAAGACTTTGGATCTTCTGCATATTATGTGCTTAGTGTGTGCTCTTGATATATAAAGTGTTTTGCTAGATTCTAAGGATGCGTGTAAAAACATAATTTAATTAAGTATTTATTTAATAATTTTTTACATGAAAACTTATGTCATATATTTAACTAAATTTCTTTAGAATAGGTTTAAAAAATTCTATTAATAATATATTGAAAAGTTATAAAAATTATATATTATTAACGCATTTAAATAACGGTCTAACACTTCTGCAAAAAGACTTTGACACTACGAAAAATCTGGCAAATGTCGTCGATGCAATTAGGATATGTCAAAGTCTTCGTTCGTATTGCATAAATGTGGTTTCATTATAAAATTAAAAAATATTAAAAACTCACCGCGTGGATCAATTGAGGTTGTTTCAGATTAACAAGTAGTTTTAAAATAGAATTATAAAAAATAAAATAAAAAATATTGCAATTAAAAATCTTGATTTACACTTGAAGATCAGCTTCCTTTCTTTTCGTTGCATGTCTTATGCAGGTGTTAAAGAATTTGCCATTGTTAACCCTACCACGAGTACGATGAAAGTAACTCGTGCATGTATAAATTACTCATATTTGAATTCATAAAGGAATAATATCATGATTATATAATACGTGTAAAATTTTGCTTTCAGTAAATTCAAGAACGCACTGCAAAAAATTATTATATAATTAGCTTCTAATAATATACATATTTTTAATAAAAATTGAATTATTAATATAAATACTTTGAATTTTTACTAACAATATAATAATATATCATACAAAAGAATAATTTAACTGTGCTAATAGTTTTAAATCAGTAATTAATAAAAATCAAAATAAACTTGAACTCATTCCAAAAAACAAACTTGAAAATTGATAAAGAGTGTTCATAATAATTATATTTTGTCCATTCACAACATATCAACAATTACTTAGCACTGAAAATGAAAAGTCACCCAGAAGAAGCTGATAGGGAGGAATAACTTTAG